ATTACCAAACAAGTAAGCTCAAAGTAAACTGTTTATCTTAGACTAAGGATACGTGACTACTCGATTTTGTTCTAACCTATTGATTGACATATGATCGGTGATATTGAAATTTTTTTATTATATTGCACTTCTATAATTTACCAACAGTTTGTATATACCCTTATATAATTAAAAAGGTTTAATTTTACTGAACAGAGTGTGTAAAACTAAGACTTCAAGCTTCGCGATTTCTTCAGGTAGTTTCATAGAAGACTTCGACTTCGTCAGGTCGGAAGTAGAGAGTACCCGCCAGGAATGATTGTGTGAAGGAGGATCCATAGCTGTTGCCAGTTGGAGGGCTGTAGGTCCATCCAAGGTTTGAGTATGAGTTGGTGTTTGATGCAGCGTTGTTCGCAATTTTAATATCGTATCCTCCTCCAAATGTTGGTCCATCTGAAGAGCAGCGGTAGATGGAATGCGCTCTCTGATAACTACCTTGTCCGGAACTTTGATCTAGCTTTAGAGGCTGCCAACCAGGCTTGTTAACCAATGAGAAGAGAAAGGCTGCTGAATCGTAGTAATATGAACAACCACCTAATTTAAAAAACACAATGGGAAAAGAAGTCCAACATTAATGATGTTTACCGACACTTAATGACGTATTACAACGTTAATTTGATTGGTTCACAAAATTTTGCTATTATTCTAAGCTCGGCATAATTTCTTGTAGCGTTAATTTTAAGTTCTCTTGGTCCTGTATGTAAAATGTGTCCTAAGTTTTTAATAATTTCAATTCTCGGATGAGCCAGGCGGATTGGAGACTGGAAACCTCTGCCCGATTTCTGACTACATGTGATTTCCATGCGACATTTTATAACTTGCGTAAAAATAGTTCTCACAGCTTTGCATGCATGAAACATCATTCTTCAGATCAAAACCACTCAAATCCATTACTTTGTCGTCTGAAATCAGTCATACAGCTTATGATACCCAGTTCTGAAAATGCAAGTGTTTCTATTCACCTGTTTATCACGATGTGTTAACCAGAAAATTCTTAGTATCATTGACTTACTTTCCTTTCTCTGAGTAAACCTTTTTTCTGCACCCTTCCTTTAACGATTCGAAGCAATTATAGCAGGTTACCGCTTCCTATAAAGGTCCTTCATTCCGCAGTTATCTCCCAAAATCGAATGAGTTATGAAATATATAAACCGAGCAAATTATACATCGTAGAAGTGAGGTAAGCCATTTTGTTAAGAATTTTCCAGCTCTGAAATTTTCTAAACCATATTGTAAAATATTCCATTTTAAAACTTCGTTTTAAAATTCTCTGAGACCGCTGTTGTGCAATATGCATATGATCATCGCTGACTCACAGCTTGCGCTTGGGTTGCCTGTAATAAGATGAAATTGGTCAAGTCACTTACTGGTCCATGAGACACTTATGTATCCTCCAAAAATATATTTCCCAACACGGATGATTGTGACAGATGGACCTTTGCCGTTACAGTTTGAGTGGAAGGTAGAGGATGACCAGCCATTTACAGTTGCCTGGTAACAGCGATTCCAGTAAGAAGATTGGCGAGTCACAGGCTTTAACCATTTATCCAGCCATGTCAAAAAATTCTGGTTGTTTCCCACAATGCTGGAATATTTAAGACCCGCTGCAAAAATAACATATAAGAACGTTCTCTGCATTAATTTTGTACCTAGCATATGTTTTAATGGGTCATGTTGAAAGTTGGTTTTTGTAAGAATTATTAACACTCTCATCTTCACCAGTTATAAGGTGACCATCTTGACTTGCACCGTAAATGTGACGCTGACTAAAGGTGTATTTGTCAGGTGTATTTATTTGTTATTGTACATGCCACGATGCAACTTAAAAGTGTGGTTAATTTTAATGTCAAAGCGTGTCTGTAGTAGCGAGAAGGTAGCAAACAACAATACTGAGGCGTGTTTTCTTTTAATTAATTGCAACAGTAAAAGTCCTTGCAATATGGCAAACTGATCCAAGATGGAAAGGAGAATTCTAATTGGTCCCTGAGTGGTCCAAATTTTACGATATCGACCGCGGTCCGAACTTTGCAATGATAACCGCTGAGATGCACCATTCATCTCACAAAAGAAAGCAGTTTGCTATGAAATCTCAGTTTCTTTGTTTGTTTTTTGACATCACATTTGGGGGACAATTTCAGTTTAATTGTAACCACTGCAACCCGAATCAGAAGTACAATCAACGTGAAATACTTACCTGCCGCAGTGTACCTACAAGTTTTTCCGTCTCCTGCTAAAGGATGGTTACACATACATGTGTAGGATCCTACAGTGTTTGTACATGAAGCTGAACGGTGGCAGTCGTGTACACCGCTGACACACTCATCGATATCTGTGGGTAATAAGGAACACGGCAAAACATAAATTGTTGTGTACTTGTTCAACAAAAAGGGCTTTATGTTCTGAAGTAAGGAGTTTCGTTTGTATCAAATAAGTAGTACTTTATCGTAAATTTGATAGTACGTGTCGTGATTAGAGGTTCACCATGTTTTAATATTAATAAAACCTCTCAAGGGCAATAGTCCTGGTTGTAGAGTGTTGTCATGGCAGCCATATTGCTGTTCCTGGTCAGATGATGAACATGTTTACAAATCAAAAAAAGCCGGAAAGTGAGAAATTTCATTGTTTGGGAACCGTGACTTCCGTGAACCGTGTTGGTTTTCAGTTAGTTATCTTTGTGAAAATTTCTACAAGAGCGTCGTTTCTAAAGATTGGAGATCTCTAACTTTTCAGAACCGCATATTAACATGCAATTAAATATACAAATAGAAAAAACTGATCGCTAATTGTTTGCACCTTGGAGGTTTTCCGTGAATAGAACCAAAATAAATATCCCCCTTTTTATATTTTACATCCAAAGACCAGACAAAAAAAACATAAATATATTTTACATGGTATAAATTTGTAAGGCGAATAACCTTTTCAACCAATACCTTTCGTAGTTCGTGTTAAGGTTACTTCCCACCTTCAAAAGTGAAAAAAAATCATTTTTTCTTTTATTTGCCTAAATTGAAGTTT